CATGAACAGTTGCCGCCTCAGCTCATTCGATACTGACAGTGAAGATGAGATGTCGAGAATAATAAGAATAAGCAAGAATGTAGTGTGGCTGGCCAGTTGGCTGTCTGGCTGGCTGGCTGGTTGGTTGTTGGTTGGCTGATTGGGTGAGTGGATGACAACGAACCAACTAATAATCTATCACCGAAGAGATATGTAGAAGAATAAAGTGTAGATGGATTGAATTGGGCATCGACTGAGAAGATTGTTTGGAGACATAATGCAGCAGGCCAGGTCATACCGTCTATTGGAATCCAAATGGGAGGGTGACATGGAGGAGAATGTGTTAGGAGTGAATGAGAGTTAGTGGGTAGTTGTGTAGCCAGTTTGAAAAGACTATAGAGAAGAGATTGAAATGGCGACGTGTTATGGAAGCTCTATCTTTAAAGAAAATATCTTGTTTTATCGTATTAATCACGTGTTCATCTTTTTTTAATTACAGGTTTTAGCAAAACTGTTTCATGCTATTATTCTACTGGCATTCTTCGGTATGCAAACCATCTTCAAAGCGATTCGCATGAATCACTGGGATTATTTATGTCTTTATCTCAGGTATTTTCTGATGTCCTTTTTAGTGTCAATTCATAATTTATTGTAGCGGTATATTCATTATTGATAAACTCACAGCTTTCAAATGAATTATAGACTTCTTGAATGAAAACTGAGTTATCCGACAGCCATCTATTGCAAGTGAGTATTCATACTTTACAATAATATTGGGTATTTTTCTAATGTTTACTGCTGTTCTTATCTAGAGTAGCTAGAAGAGTTTGATGCTGGACATAACGTTAACAGCCTCAAATTGTTCAACAAACAAGAGAAGTCAAACTTATTGCATTTAGCACTAGCGATAGCCATTTGGCCAATCGATGCATTCAAAAAGATTCAGTTTTCAGCATCTCATTGACGTGGTGATTAGTTTATAACAAATTGGATACGAACATTCTGTCTTTCACATTTTATTTCAAGGCCTTATTTTTGTTTTGATACTGGGTGATGATTGAAGGTGAAATGAAAGTCTAAGCCACAGTAGTATTTGAATCAGTGACTTTTGAGCTACTAACTTCCCTTCACTAATTCAAGTCGATTTGAACTGAGATGAGAAGTTCTAGTTGGAGAGTCAGTGTGAATACGATGGACTGATAGTAACGCATCATGAATTATCAAGTTAGTCGAGCAAACATCTTGGTGATTGAAATGAAATTAGGATCTGATCAGCAGCTGATTCGTATAGTTTAATTGAGACAGCATCAGGCCAGTAACTGGGGAAGTCGTTAGGGGGAATCCTGCGGCGCCCACTATCATCCATTATCAGTAATACAAATCTTCTAAACCACAGCTGTTTCAAGTAGTTAAAATGGTAATTTTTGGAATTTGTACTCTTTTTAATGTTTTCTATTCTTAAGTGTTCATTTGAGCGTGATATCTCTACTGCTTGGTCACTGGTACGATTGTTTGCCCGTATTTCTTGTTGAGTGACCTCATTTAATTCTGATATTTTAAGTGACGATTCTAACGCGGTAAAGAATTCTGATTTCGAGGCATCTTTTGTGTTGTAATTAAATCCTTTTTGTACCATATGTCTTCCATTTTGTCCAGTATTTTCCATCCCATTAGGCAGTTAATCGGTGGTCTATATCTGACACTCTTCAGAGGAACATGCTGACGTAGGCACCTATGGAGAACGAATAGTTGTTCTTTTGTGGAAGCATGCCTTTTCAAAAGGTCCTCCCATCTTTGAACAAGGCGAAGCGTGTTACGCACATATGATTTTGCAATGGTGGAGAATATTCGTGGATGGTCTTAGTTGTATTGTGTTCTCTGAACTAGATTCATACTGAAGTTAATGCCGGTGATGTTATCTAGCAAGACGATGAAAACTTCACGACTAAACATCCCAGCACAGGGGACACAATACAATCAAGAAATTTTTACTCTGCTCAAGCTCTTGTAAGTGAAAACCTTTTAGATGTAGGTCAATCTATGCTACCTATTGCCCATCTAATTCTTAACCTTTTCCCTTAAGAATATACAACTAATAATCGTACATATAATCAACTAATCGTCTTCTTACATTCCTAACGGTCTCTGGTTTTGTCACTTATATCTCTATGTTAGCGGTTGATTATATCAATAAAAATTCGTGTCAACTTGATAAAAGTATGTTTACTTCTTGTTATATGCACAGTTTGACATTATTTAGTTGTAACCAGTTGAAAAGAACCTTCGAACCAATAAAAATAAGCTCATCTCCTGAGGAACTAGTAGTTTTCATATATTCAAGTTTAAGACTAGAAAAGCCTTACACTTTTACTAACTAATATCAATAACACAAAACCAACAAAATCTTATTGTTGTGACTTATAAACGTAAGTAAACGCACTGTGACACGAATCACTCTATCTTAAGGACTTCCTCGTTCAAAGTCGTCTATAAACTGAAAACAAACATCCCAAAGGCTATTTATCTTCGTATCGTCTGCATAGCCGAAGCTCTTGCTATCCATATGGAGAAATATGAACTGTGTACGCAAAAGAAGATTGTCCAACCGATTCTCCTTTCATTGTCTTCGTTTTCATTTGCCGCTGAAAAGAGACTGTTCGCTGAAATACCTACTTGTTCTTTTTTCACATCCCGATGGGCATATTTAACACAATGAAAGTTATAAACCTCTCATTATACATGAATAATTGTGATCTCTAATTAAAAGCATCAAATTGTCTGAAGCCCTGAAGTCATGCCAAGATTTTCTAATCACACAAACGGTTGAAGAGTTTGTAAACATCTAAAAAAACACAGCACATAAAGCAGGACCGCTTTCCTATAACCAATATTATTAACTAGTCAAAATAAGGTGGTCTAATTACCTAATTATTTAATTATCAACAGTGTTTAACTAATCTGATCCGGGATAACGACGTAGATTTACAATTGTCGATCGAAAACAACTGATATTCATTGTGAAAACTCTTTAGTGTTTGAGGAGATGGTTGTCAGGTTCCAGTTTCAATGGATCACCCTGACTCACTGAAGTAATGGTATATATGGCTGTTGAGTCGTCACAGCAAGGTAAGCTCTAATTTAATGACTATCAAAGCATCCACGTAAAAGCTCATTTGCCGACGGATGTCCAGCAGTCTCATCCACTATCATAAAGGGAAATTAAATTATCAACAAGTAAGTTATGTGTATTTCATTTATCAAGTTCAGAGTCGCTATACTCAATACTCTTAAGTGACACATGCATCCTAGAGTAATATGCTTTTTACAGCCTTGTCAGACCATTTAATTGGTTATGGTTTGTTCAAGAAACTATCTGTTTTCGATATGCATGTGTCACTTATAAATCGGTTCAAATGTTAATAAAATAACTCTTATCCATGTCATATTGGATGACACTATGGAACATAAACTTTGACTCTTTTAGCGTCTTATTGTATTCAGCTATCTTGTAGCTGGTTATATTACCTTTGAGTTACTTTTCGCAGACTACTTAACAAATCTAATCAGTATATAATGTCCCATCGTTGATTGGAACGATTAGATCGGTCTCTATTGGAGTATGGGCTCCTTCACGGATGCCTCGATATTGCCTGTGCTTTAATAATATATTTATAATGGATAGTGGCTAGTAGTGGAATTCAGGACATGAGTTTCGTCCTATTTAGGGCTCGTCAGCTGGATATACCTGTACCTGTACCAATAGAGACCGATCAATTCAGTCCAGTCAACAACAAGATAATACAAGCAACAACACTAAACCTATACCAATCGTACAAGTAATGACTATCGTGGCTTGACAGTCTAGTGAATAAGTCTCTGACGTTTGATACGATCAGTTCCAAGTTCGAGTCCCAGTGGGAACAACACTCCCTGAGAGGCGGGTAAAGATAAAGATAAAGAAAAGTACGATTTTCTTTTCACTCAGGTTGTAATGTAAATCAATGAAAGTTAATAAATTTCCTCAATTTTTCTCACAGAAAAGTATATTACTGTTAAGCATCTTCAAAGTAGAAGAGCACAAAATAATAAGATTGAGAAACAAAAACAATCCACCTATTTATTTTTATTGAAAGATATTTCTTTTAATTAAGCATTATAACAGTTAGCATAATAGGACAATAAAACCATTGAAGATATATTGAAAAAAAAAAAAAAGCAGAACAAACTGGAATGATTTTTTTCCCTCTGTTTTCTATCTTTCTTGGCATAAATTTGTTTAATCATATTGAATTATTTCGAAGGTAGTTAGTTTACACAACACAACTGACTACAATTCATTCATTCTAGTAATTGGGGATTAAAACAATAAATGAAAATCAATCCCACCCCCCCCCCAAAAAAAAACTGTACAAATTATTTTATCAATTAGAGATATGACTATTTCTTATAAAACTTTGGTCAATTAATATATATTTCTTAAACTTAACTGTTATGATCTTGTTTGTGCATATATGAAATAGGTGTAATCATTTCATATTCCTGAGATTGTGTTGATTTAACATTTAAATCAGTGTTAATAATGCTATTTGTGATTGATTGAATATGTCTATTATCTTCATTACTTTTAGTATTCTTCTTAGTAGTATTAGTATATTTATGAATATTCTTCTGTTGAAATGTTTTTGATAAATTAGTTTCTAAATTCAATTTTGTTTTATACTGTAATGCCTTCCAACAACCTTCACGTAAACCTAAATCAAGGAAAAATAATAAACATGGTAGTAGAAGACCAGAACTTGCATATGCCCACCAACGAAAATCTGCAAGACGATCGATGCTTAAATGAATCCAACATTTACTTATAAACTGATTTGATAATCCTGTACCAATAGCAGTCAAAATAGATGAAGAAGAAGACGAAGGATAGAATTGATTTGATGACACTGTTGAAGTAGTCAATGGATGCATAACTTGATTAATCATTGATTTTGATATACTAATCGGTTGACATAAACCATGCGCTAATGTTGCCAAAATGTACGGTGACCATATGCCAACTGCAATGATACAACTTACCAAATTTATAGCTACAACTAACTGTTCTCCTTGATAAGCAGTTAACCATAAATTCGTTTTAGATAAGTTATGTACACTATTCTCATGAGACAATGTTCCTGTTGATGCTGGTTGGGTATAATTCACTTTCATACTATTTGATCGAATTATATGATCGTATAGATTAGAGGTAATAACTTCATCTTGAGGTTTTATATGATAGTCTGACTTTGATTTATGCAGTTTATCAGTTGATATAACCCCTATTTCATCAGTAGTAGGTTTAGTATAATGATAATGTTGTGGAAGAAGAGTTGTTGATATTACTGATGGCATATATTGCTGGGGACTTAATCCAATAGAACTGACTGATTCTTGTTGATAACTAATCGGTAACAATTTGACTTGTGCACCATCAATGTTAAGTAATATAGTATCTGATGTGGTTGGTTCATTCCAAGTGATATTAGACTTCATTGTAAGGTCATTATTATTTATGTTATTGGTAGAAGTCGATTCTGTCATATGGGCATCATGATTATCAGAGCAGTCAGTTGCTTTAAGCGTAGATTCATTTTGTAAACCTAAGGTTGTATTACCTAATATTTGATCAGATTTCTCTGGAATACATGTATTGTTATTGGATTTATACAACCATGTGTAGGACATTTAAACATTGGAATTGATGTTGTTGTTGTTGTTGTAAATGACTGTAGATTATTGACACTAGCTATTGGTAAAATAATAGGTGATAATAAAGATCTTGTTAAGTGTATTCGATCTATAGAAGTATCACTTTGTGGAATTAATGTTTCATTTGTTTGTGTAGGATCAAAATGATAAGAATTTGTCATTATTGACAATCGTCTATTAGGATTATTTGTTAATAAATGCGTTGTACCAATTGTAGTTAAAGATGAATTTGTGTTATTCAACAAATTATTATTTCTTTGTCTCCAGATTACTTCTGAATTATGCGTATTTAGCATATTTTGTCTATTAAAATTGACAAATTCTTGTGAAGGGATTAAATTATCTTGTACATATATCAATTGATCATATTCATTAATATTCGTTTTACGTACATTTAATAAAGCGTTAAGCATTTCAGGTGAATGATAACGTAATCGACGTAAACCATTTAACTGTAATATAACTAATATTAAACATGTGAACAATGGTAATGCATATGCAATCACTGTGCGTATAATTAAAAAATTTGGATCTTGTAATAAACATGATGTATTCAAATTGAAATCTGTTAATTTTTGTCTAGAATTCAATTGAATCATTGAATATTGTTGATCATTTGAAATTCTATTTTTTGATATTGTTGTATATAATCTTACCTGATGTCGATCACTTAATGCTAATTGACCAATAGCTTGTAAACTAGCCATTAACCAAGGTGAACCAATTTTTAACCATAATGCTGGTCTTCTACGCGCAGAAGATAAATAAAATAAAGGATTTCTTAATCTTAAATAAGCATCTAAACTAGAGAAAAATGTTTGTAAAAATGTTAAATTACAAAAAAGTGTATCTAAATAAATTGAATATAAACAGAATATATGAACATACGAATGAACTTGAGAAGTGCCTAAAAGTAAAAGAAAAACAATAATAAAAGACGATTTAGTATATTAAGACAATTTAAGGATAAATTAACTTACAATAATACAACTTGATGATACTGTAATTACCCGTTGCTATACAAAGCCGAATACTAATGTCGCACAAACTCGAAGACCTATGCGTGAAAACTAACAAGTTGGCAGAGGAGGCAGAGAAAACGGGACTTCAAGTGAACGTAGACATGGAAGACAGAGGTGATGAAGATACCTATCTAGGCAGCACTGTTTCGACTACAGGCGGTGGTGGCACAGACGAGACATCACAGCCAGCCGGATCGGAAAGATAGCAAGACAGACATTCATTAGCCTGACACCAATGTGGAAATCTTCTGCACTCAGCATGTGCAACAAGATCTGGATTTTCAACACCAATACAGTTACGTAAGTCAGTGGTTCTATATGATGGTTGAGAGGCTTGGGCCTTACGAAAAACGTTTCAACAAACTACAGACTTCCATCAACAACTGCCGCCTACACGGATCATTACTGAACATCACATGGCCACAATGATAAGAATAAGCAACAAAGAACTCTGGCTGGCTGGTGACGAACCAACCAAGAAGCGATCGCTTGCTCAACAAATATGCTTAGGAACGAAGTGGAGATGGATTGGACATACACTGAGAAGGCCCGACTGGGGACATCGCGTGCCAGGCCAGGTTGTTGAGTGGAACCCAGATGGAAGCGACGAGTTGGGCGTCCGAGGTGAGGGTGACATGGAGGAGATGGTGAGAGCTTTTGGGCAGTCGTGGAGCTAGGTTGAAAAGATTGTAGAGAAGAGAGTGGAATGGAGACGTGCTACTGAATTTCTATGTTCCATTAGGAACCTAAGCCATAAATAATTTAATAATGATAATAGTTTATTATTGACTCTTAGTGATGAATAAATCCTACCATAACGTAGATTTTCAATTCCCTTCCAGCTATCTTTCAGTATCAATAATACAAATCTGCCACATCAAGGTTATCTTAAACAGTCAAACTAGTAATGACTAATGGACATAACCCATAGCCCTCAAAAATGTTTTCACTCAGATCTTCTCTCACTTTACATTCCTCTACTCATAATTCAGATTTCTCTTTACATTCACTATATTACATCATTTAACTCAGTAACCAAACATTAACTTATCTCTAAGACTAATGAAGATTCTACTTTTGAGGTGGTATTCATTACGAAATGATATCAGTCGTGGGAACCATTGATCCCTAGGAGCACCGGACATCTGTTTTATCCTAGTACGGAAGGCGTTCCATACTGATGTCATTCCGTGATGAATACGCCCTCTAAATTAAAATCCTCATTCATCTCAAAAATATATTACTGTATATTGTTTATTACTGACATGTTTCCAATGGATGTCACGAAGATCTAATGAGAAGCCGTGACCTGTGAGGTCAACCACTTGGAAGAAAAGTAGATGCCAATAGAAGAGCATAAGTAGTAGTCACGCTATATTGTGAATTGACAGAAGTTAGAAACTGTGAACCTTTATAGAATCTGGGCGACAGACTCTTATTTACACATGCACTTGAAAGCTACCCTCTGTAAACGAGATGGATACTTGCCAGAAGTTAAATAAATATCATGTGTACTAGTAAAACTGAATTTTTATGGTCAGTTCAGCAGGAACACACATTAATTTGTTTATTTGACTACTTCAAAAAGTTTAAGTTAGCGCATATACTTGAAAGTATGTGAGTGATACAAGAATCTTAGCTATCATCTATCTCTTAGGTATAGATTCTGTCCCACTAGTTACTGGTACACTAATATTTTTGTGTTGGTGATGTTTCGTTACATTCCCAGTCATGATAGTCACCGCTGAGTGTCTTCTATACTATTTTTCTAACAACCGATGATATGAACAAATATGAGATAACATTACAGGAATTCCTGTTTCTTCAGTGTATCAGGTTAGTGAATAAGTAATATTTAAAAATGAAATTCCAATGCAGGCGTTATTACAGCTTACTCTGATATAAGCTGGTGGAATCTACAATTACATTTTACCATCCATAATAATGACAAACTGCAAGTGTTGTTAAGCTAATTTATCATCACTGTTCATTAACCTTGTAGTTAACGATATTCGTGTCTGAACATCTTCTGAGAGTTGACGAGAGATAATATACACTAGTACCATACTTCTGAATATTTGTTTCGATCATGCATAACAACTGGATAGGAACTTAAAAATACTGGACAGCTGTTTCGTTATAGTATGGGGCTCGTCAGAAGTGTGCACACATGACCCTAACGCGGATCTAACCCAGAACTTTCAAATTTCGTGGCCGGCAAGTTGACGTTAAGTCAGCGAGTCGGAATCCAATAGTATATAATTCTGGTGAGGCCAACCAAGTCGAGCACGGAGACAAGTATTCAACAACCACACCGGATGCATGCCACGCTATAGAAGTAGGATATATGACCCATGTCGCGGAACCTGAAGGCTATACATTCGTTTATGAATAGCTCAGTGCTTAGTTGATTTTTTAATCAACTATCATTTGACCACTTTTCAAGAATTCAAGTGATAAGTTGAGTGGAATTTTAAAGTGTATTGTGTATAGCGGCAGTTTACATACGCAATTACCTGAATTATTTATATCTTATGTATCGGATAAAAAGCTTTTCTATCACGTGGAAAAAGTATTGCTTAACCAGGATATGTTATCATTCAACTTTCAGTTTCCTTAGTGATTAGGAAAAAACTGATTTTCTTGAAAGAAATTGTACAAAGAAGCCTAGGGGAGAGTACGGAAAGAAATTGGAATTTTGCAAAAACATGATATGGTTAGTTAGCTTATGTATTTCTTACCTTTTGTGTTGATATCTGTCTAAGTATACGAAGATTAAGTCTAAGATATAAAGTTCCGTTTAGTTCATTGAAAAGTGCTTCTTTTCACCGTGTACACCTCTTCTCTTTCCGCATTATTATCTTGCTTCAACAAGATGATGCTTATAAAAAGGTTATTCATTATCGGCTAACATATATATTCGTTACGCACTGGCAGCGCTGAAAAGCTGTTCGTCATAGTATGCACATAGTCCCATACTGATGTCATTGAGTTGTGAATACATATCTCCAAAACAAAAATACCCATTCATCTCAAAATACACTACTGTATAGTAATCATTGTGGGCAGTCGTGGAGCCAGGTTGAAAAGACTACAGAGAACAGGATGCATTGGAGATGTGATACTGAAGCCCTATGTTCCGTTAGGAACTGAAGGTAAAATAATAATAACAATATTGCTCATAAGTGACATGCTTCCTGTGACCTGTGGGGTCAACTAGTCGGAAACGAACCACATAACATCTAAAGAACTCAGGCAATAATCGTGCTACATCGTGAATTGACAGAAGTTGGAAAATGTGAACCATTGAACTCCAACTCACTTGCTCAGTGGTTAATATGTTCTTTGTGAGACATGAGAGTTCTGAGTTCCATCCATAGACTGGTCGTGGGTGTGTCCTGCTGAGGAGTTGTTTGCCAGAATGAAACAGATGTCCAGTTCTCTTAGATTTTCAATGGTTTGTCAATTGATATCACCCCATGATGAATTATTATATTATTATTTGTGCCTTGGGTTCCTAATGGAACATAGAAATTCAGTAGCACGTCTCCATTCCACTCTCTTCTCTACAATCTTTTCAACCTAGCTCCACGACTGCCCACAAGCTTTCATTTCCTCCTCACACCATCTCCTCCATATCACCCTCACCTCGGACGCCCAACTCGTCGCTCCCCATCTGGGTTCCACTCGACAACCTGGCCTGGCACGTGATGTCCCCAGTCGAGTCTTCTCAGTGCATGCACAATCCATCTCCACTTCGTTCCTAAGCATATTTGTTGAGCAAGCGATCGCTTCTTGGTTGGTTCGTCACCAGCCAGCCAGAGTTCCTTGTTGCTTATTCTTATCATTGTGGCCATGTGATGTTCAGTAATGATCCTGTGTAGGCGGCAGTTGTTGATGGAAGTCTGTAGTTTGTTGGAAATGCTTTTTATAAGAGAAATTATGTTTTTTTACATGGCTTATATAATTTTTGTAGCACCAACTACATTTTATAATTATGTAGTATACAGAGTTACCATTATCTATAGATTTTTAAAACAAATTAGGTAGTGCGGACAAATACAACTTTTCAATCATTACTGATAACGTCTTGATCACTTTGTGACGTTTTTTAAATCCAAGAGTTCCAGGATTATCGATAGAATATTTATGGAACCTTATCACTTTTCCAGGGATACGGTATTTTGATAGTCACTCATTAAGATTCCTTGAGCAACCATTTGTAAAGAATTTCAAGGGTGTTAACACAAATTCATTACAATTGTCACTTCTACACATGGCAATGTAATTTTGTTTACTATTTCTGGAATGGTAAACTGGAATTACAAATTCTCATACTTTCTGAAATCAACTTCCCACACTAAACGAATTTCTGTTCATTCATTCTTGGAACAACACACTCAGAGACCGGACGATAACCTAACTACAGTTGGCGATTACATCTTATCGCTAACAACAATGCTGTCATAATTAACATTATTTCATTGCAGCGAATTAAAATTTGTTAAAGCGTTATATGGTGAAGATTGTATACTTTATCAAGAATATCATCAGGATTCAACTGATTCTTATTTTTGAGATGAATGGAGATTTGTAATTTAGAGGTAATATTCATCATGGAGTGATATCGATTGGCAAACCATTGAAAATCTAGGAGAACTGGACATCTGTTTCATTCTGGCAAACGACTCTTCAGCAGGACACACCCACGACCAGTCTATGGATGGAACTCAGAACTCTCATGTCTCACAACGAACGCGTTAACCACTGAGCAAGTGAGTTGGAGTTCAATGGTTCACATTTTCCAACTTCTGTCAATTCACGATGTAGCACGATTATTGCCTGAGTTCTTTAGATGTTATGTGGTTCGTTTCCGACTAGTTGA